TATCAATAACACATAAACTACTCCTTGTTAAATCTTTACATAAGTTATCATATGAGCCAAGTGGGAGAATGTAAGACTAAATTAATTATTTAGTCATTATGTTGACCCACATGATATGGTAATATGAATTAGAGATTTGGAAGGATTATGATTCCATATTTTTGGCTACAATTAATTGGTAAATAAAGAAGAGTGTTTTCCAAGTATCTTACTTTGATGGAAAAAGTGGAATCACTGTTGAATAAGGAAACTGATACTCTATCTACCTATAAAGACATTCAGACTATCCATTAAATGATTCTGAATTCAATGTATTCTAAAGAGGGTCTCAAGAGAAAGAAACATTTTTCCACTAATATTGATATTAGGTTTATGTTCAATCAATTATGGATCACTCAAAGGTTTCGCATAACTGATCCGGGTATGTTATTTATTTTTTGCATTATGTTATTATTTGTGAAAATCATGATAGTTCACGATTTTGGATTATGAAGGTTGTTATATGCATAACACCGTAAAATTATTTACACATCCTGCATAGAGATTAACATGTTGCAAAGCCATCCTGTCTATCCAATTTAGATCCTGCAAATTCAATGTTTTCCACATAGTGAATAAGATAACAGCCTGGAATAGCAACTCAAAGTGTAAGAAGAAAAAATAAGTACCTCTTTACTGGAACCAGTTTAAGTACCATTTTGATATACAGAGGAGAAAAAAAACAGTTTACACTAAATAATATCCAATAATGAAAAGGAAAACCAAACCAGAGTGAGAGGAAGATAATCGCATAAAACAACTATCATAAAAAAAAAAAAAAAAAAAAATGCAAATGCCTCATATTCGGCCTTTTGATGGCTATCTGACTCTTGCAAATTACAAATATGCAAATTCTCATCTTATTACATAGACTACCAGCAAAACATTAGGACACCAATTTTTATGCTTTCATGTGGAAGTATGTGGTAGGCAGCATTGGCAAAGAACTTAAACCTCACGCCGCAACTGTCAATCCAACAAGGCACGGAACTACTGATCACATCTCTTCCAAGTTCGAAGTGACTGTTTCCAAAACTATCAAGAAACACTTCATTTCATTTGAAGATTGATTCAACATGTACTGATGATAGCTATAACCATACAAGAACTAAAACACAGTTTTTATCAGAATTCATTCTTTTTTAAGTTGCTCTTACCCGAACCACTTAGCAAAAAATTCAAGTTTCCTAAAGAAAAAAATATTTTTCCTAATGCAGCCGCATAATAGAGAGATGTTTTGTTAGTTATTGATCAGCATAATAGCTACATATTATTGTACATACAAGAGTGGGCAATTATTATCCATCAACATGATAAGATACAAATGATTCTTAGGTTTCTTTTTAAATTCTACTAGATTCTTTGAGATTTAATTTCATATCACATAAATGGAGTAACATAACGTCATATATTTTTCACTTACATCTTATGGAACAATCATGGAATACTAAAATGAGGACCTCAGAAACTAGAAGTTAGGTAGCCAGGCAAACGGTAGCAACATTTCAAGATACCTCAGCTCCAAGAAACCTCATTTATCGAACAAATGTTACAAAATTTATCATACACCAAATTCCACCAACCCATAAAAGTTCCTAATCATATTCCATGTCACCAAACTTGACAAGGAAAAAAAATATAAAATAAAAAGGAGACGACATTCTCACTTCCCTTCTTTTCTCTTTCTTTTTCTTTTTTTTTTTTTTTAAGTGTGGACAGAACACATAAAGTTCAGAAACTAGGTACAAACTTTTAGCTGCAACAAATAAAAGAGAAATTCTAATTTATGTTACAATGCCATCTAACCACATGATTTTTTGCATTTTTCCATAGCAACATTCAATTATTTAAAACATATATACAATAAGATTAAAAGAAAGACAGAAGAAATACATAAAGGGGGTCCCTCATCATTTGTATTGGTAATCTATTTAAATCATTAGTTTAGTTTTGCCAAGAGAATTTGCTTACGTATATGCAGAACTCCATTGTCATAAACCTTTCCAAACAATTAATGCCTCCAAGCAGTCCACATTTTTGCACCCAAAATAAAATAAACAGAAAATAAAAAGAAAATTATTTTAAACAAAACAAAGTTAACAAGGCTATAGAGCTTATACAAGTGGCACAAATGAGGTAGGTTAACTAGAAAATCATAGTCAACTTATTAGAGGGAAGAGTAAAACAGAGAGCAACTATCTAGTAATGCATAACAAGTTAATATAAATGAAGTACGTGTCCCCACACAAAATTAACAAAACGTAAGAACCACACACACTTAGGCAGGCGGAATCCTCTCAAATTTGCTAAGCATCATTTCAATATTCCATTGTTAGGCAAAATGATTATTCCATTTTTAGGCTATGTTTCAACAAGTCATGGATATGTTTCAACAATATTCCATTGTTAGGCAAAATCATTTCAATATTCCATTGTTAGGCAAAATGATTATTCCATTTTTAGGCTATGTTTCAACAAGTCATGGATATGTTTCAACAATATTCCATTGTTAGGCAAAATCATTTCAATATTCCATTGTTAGGCTATGTTTCAACAAATCTGCTGCAACAAGCCAACATAAAAACTAATAATCCAACAAATCCCACATCTAGGAAACAATAAACAAGGCTATGTATCAAACTACAACTAACAACATATCCATGACTTCCTCTGCAGGCTTGCCTAAAACAAATATTAAGCACACCATAAAAAATAAAAAAACAACAAACAACACTAACCACCAAGGCACTAACCTTTCCATCAAAGACAATTGATGAGAGATACACAATTGATTAGAAATTAAAATGGAAAGAGAATACCAATACTACCAACCTTGATCCATACATGAACTTCCAGATCCAATACATTGGCTGATAGCCCCATGTAATGGAAAGTTCTCTTGCAGAGAGTATGTATGATTTTAACCCAATTGATTTTTCCAATGCAAATCTCTACATGGTAGCAAGCACATATATGAAACACAAACCTTTACTACCCATTGTGGACCAAAAAACTGTTCTTAAAAATTAAGTTGAGCAATACATATCAAGTTAACAAACATGAATGCATGTGAATGATGTAAGCCTCATACTTGTAAGCCTCATCTCTAAAGTGATGAGAAGTCTAAAAGGAAATGAAGCCTACCTTATTTCCACCATCTGTGAGAATGGGATCACAAAGACAAACAAATATCTCTTTCTTTAAAGAGAATTTTAAAGGAGTTACTGATCTTGAAACAATGTCTTCATAATCAGAGGGCAACAACCTCTCCCAAACAATGTCAGAATTTGCTGCAGAACGAAACGAAGATGATACTGACAAAGACCTGCATGCATCTAGAGGTAAGGTGTTGGAGAGAATTGTGGATACACAGTCGTCCAGCAACATGGTTGAGTACAACCCTGAAATTGTTTTGGTTTTTTGTCTGTTTTTGTTTTAAAAAATGTAGGAAATAAATAGGCAGTGTGAAATAGAGTTTGAAAACAAAAATCAAATGATATCAGAAGACTCATTCTTGTACTTATTTTGTGTTCCAAACAATTTAGGAGAAATTACACTTAAGTGAATAAAGTCAAAATAAATTTCAAATTAATGGCATATCATATCAACTTTAATAATTGAAATTATAAATTTTTTGATGACTTTACAATTTTTTTTTTTTGGTCATACAATTAATTCACAACAACATTTTAATGTAGGTCTAAAGTTTGACTTATCTAGAATGAACAGCTTCTTTCCTCAATAAATGCTAATAATTTACTAGCCAACAAGCTTTATGTTCATATGACCATTCAAAGCATGTGAAGATTTTTTTTAGCTAGTTGGCTCTCAAAAAACTACAACAGAACTTGTTACAAAGTCCAGGCCTAGTCCTCTTTCAGTACTACTACAAAATGGATCACAAAACACTTAGAATGGTGTGAATCTTATTGTGTGTGTTTACACAATAAGCCTCGTTCGCTGTGACATTTTTGCAATTTAATTTTGTGTAGATATGTTTTTGTGAGTATTAATATTCACAAAATTTGTATGAAATTGTTGAATTTGATTAGTATTTTGATTAAAATTATGAGAAGTAAAATGAATCAATAACTATTGAAATGAAAACCTTGGGAGGGCATCTGGTCTGGCTTTGGAGGCAGATTGAAGGTAGAGATTAACATAGTCAAGAAAAGACTTAGAACAAACAGATCAAAGATAGATTCAGTCCCTCGATCTTTATATGCTGCTGACAGGAACAATTCAAGTAAGAAACCTAGACATGTAACCCAATACCAATCCAACATCACTAACATATATCGCAATTTCAGAGTTCATTACATGAGAATAATTTTCAGGAGAAATGGCAATCCGGAGAATGAGCAGTCGATCCAATGCCAATGGACTAAGCAGAAATGAAGATTCAAGTCTTGACACTGCACGTGGAGTTGCTCCCAAGAGAGGAATGGTTCTTTCCTTCACTCCCCTCACCACGTCCTTTGACAGTGTAAAATACTTTGTGGATATGCCACCAGTAAGTATACCTTTTTCCTCTTTCACTCTTAGTTTAGCTCAAATGCCACTACTACATAATCATTTGTCGCGTTCTAATATGACTAAAGAAAATCGCTGTCAAATGAATGTTTAGAAACTCAAATTCAAATCCGTTTAGTAACAACAAATTGTGTTAATATGAATAGGAGATGAAGGAACAAGGAGTAACCGAAGACAGGCTCCAATTACTTCGCGAAGTAACTGCTGCATTTAGGCCCGGTGTCTTGACTGCACTGATGGGGGTCAGTGGGGCTGGAAAAACTACACTCATGGATGTTCTAGCGGGGAGGAAAACAGGTGGTTACATTGAAGGTGATATCAGAATTTCTGGATTCCCCAAGATTCAAGAAACATTCGCTAGAATTTCTGGATACTGTCAGCAAATGGACATCCACTCACCCCAAGTCACCATTCGTGAATCTTTGATTTACTCAGCTTTTCTTCGACTCCCTAAGGAAGTCAGCAAGGAGGAAAAGATGGTAACAACTATCATTCATATTGCTTTTTTATGAAAAGATTTTAAGACTTATAGGGTCAAGTACTAAGATGGTTTGTTTCTGTATTTCCTTTTTAGGTTTTTGTGGATGAAGTGATGGATCTAGTTGAACTAGACAATCTCAAAGATGCCATTGTAGGGCTTCCAGGAGTTACAGGTCTATCAACAGAACAGAGAAAGAGGTTGACAATAGCGGTAGAGCTGGTTGCTAATCCATCAATCATATTCATGGATGAACCAACTTCTAGTCTTGATGCAAGAGCGGCAGCTATTGTTATGAGAACTGTGAGAAACACAGTGGATACAGGGCAAACTGTTGTTTGCACAATCTATCCGCCTAGTATTGATATCTTTGAAGCATTTGATGAGGTAATAACACACGCTCTCTCTTTCTCACTCTCTAAGTACATATATATTATCTATCTCCCTAAATGCACCATATTATATTGTGCATCAGCTGCTACTGATGAAAAGAGGAGGACAAGTGATCTACTCAGGACCACTGGGACGGAATTCTCGTAAGATTATTGAATATTTTGAGGTATTTCACATTCTTGAACTGTTTCTTTTCTTTTTTTAACATATAAAAAGACAAATACAAATAATTCAACCATTTATACTTGTTTCAGGCAATTCCTGGAATTCCCAAAATTAAAGAAAAATACAATCCAGCAACATGGATGCTAGAAGCAAGCTCAGTTGCTGCAGAAGTCCGGCTTGGAATTGATTTTGCCGAACACTACAAATCATCATCGTTGCATCAGTAAGTTAAAAGTTCAGTTATAGCAACAAAAGTGTTTTATTGGTTTTAAAATCAACAGGGTTCAAACTAATACATGCGTATGAACAGACGAAACAAAGCTCTAGTGAAAGAGTTGAGTGTACCTCCACCGGGAACAAAAGACCTCTATTTCACATCACAATTTTCTCAGCCCAATTTGGGGCAATTCCAATACTGCCTATGGAAGCTGTGGTTGACTTATTGGAGAAGCCCAGATTACAACCTCGTGAGGATGTTCTTCACCTTAGCCTGCGGCCCTTATGGTTGGATCAATTTTCTGGCAGGTTGGCAAAAAAAGGTATGCATCTAATTCTTACAAAATTCAAATCTATGTCTCAGTCCATTGGTAACAAGACTCAAAAGTCATTGCTAATTCCTTGTCTACAATTTATTTGATTCAGGGATAACACGGGTGATTTGACCACGATCATAGAGGCAATGTATGCTGCTGTCCTGTTTGTTGGAATTAATAACTGCCAGACAGTACAACCGGTAGTAGCTATTGAAAGAACCGTATTTTATAGAGAAAAAGTTGTCGGCATGTATTCTGCATTACCATATGCCATGGCACAAGTGAGAATTTTCAAATTTAACATCAAATGAGAGATTGAAAATGCAGATCGTGAAGCTTGCATTCTATCTTTGCATCTATGAGCTCACTTCTTTTAAATTAGATATTAGATTGCTATATCTTCACATTAGATTGAAAATTTTGTTCGTGAGCACTATACATCAAATGGCTACCTAAGCTTGGGTATGGATCAATTTTTGCAATTTTTTTCAATCCTAATCTTAGAGTTAATTGTTGTCTGATATGCAGGTAATCACTGAATTACCATTCGTGCTTGTTCAAACCATCTTTTTCAGTCTTATAGTGTATTCTATGGTGGGCTTCAAATGGGCAGTGCATAAATTCTTTTGGTTCTTTTCTCTACTATATCTCTTTTCTCTACTTCACATACTATGGAATGATGACTGTTTCCATCACACCAAACCACCAAGTAGCATCTATTTTGGCAGCCACTTTCTATGCACTCTTCAATCTTTTCTCGGGTTTCTTCATCCCTAGACCGGTAATTTCATTTTCCTCAGAAGCAGTTTTTTTTTTTATTTAAAAAAAAAACATTTTAACATAGTTTAATTATTTTTTTTTCCTTTGGTATTGAAAATTCAGAAAATTCCGAAGTGGTGGATATGGTATTACTGGATTTGCCAGCTAGCATGGACAGTTTACGGGTTAATTGTGTCACAGTATGGTGATGTGACGGACCCCATTACAGTTCCCGGGATGAAAAATTCCACTACTGTCCAATGGTACGTGAAAAATAATTTCGGGTATGAACCAAACTTCATTGGACCAGTTGCTGGAGTTTTGGTTGGTTTTGCAGTGTTCTTTGCCTTCATGTATGCCTACTACTGTATTAAAACTTTGAACTTCCAAATGAGGTAGAAGATACTAGTGAGTCAAATTGCCCCTTGTGGATATGTATTTGGATTCATCCAAGGTTTGAAATTTGTAGCAGATTGGATTATATCGAAATTCATATTTTAGGATAAAAATGGTTGTTTAGCAAGTTGTATACTTACCACCTAGTAGATATCAGGGATATATTGATAAGTTTCGAGGACCATATATATGTATAGTCATTGGATCCTATTGATATAAGGGAATAAATTGCTTTCTTTGTGGACCATTAAAATATTTATTAGCTCAGCCAACTTCAAGCTACATCGTCAAATGGTTTTTGTTTCTTGTTTAGTGTTTTATTTATTTATTTATTTACTAATTTATGTCTTGTTTAGATCAATGGATATATATCATGTATATAGTAGTAACACAGTTTCTTTAAAACTCCAACTTCACGAGATTTCCAAAGTCTGCAATCAAGATGAATCAAGAAAACAAACTAAATTTCAAGCACTAATGAACAAGAGATATCAACCACCAGCCAATTTGGTGAGGTCTCCTATTGGATTATCAACCTAATGCGAATGGCTCAAGTCCTTTTGTTGAATAGTGAAGAAGAAGAATATAAAAGACGCACAATGCAGAGACCTTGGTCTGAGCAAAGCAGAACTTAAAGTGACTTAATCTGATGAGTTTAGAAGAGTACAGGGTTTCTAGGAAGATGAGGTTGTTAAAAACTGAGAGGGACGTGTAAAAGCACTCATTTCTATTAATTTGTGGTTGTTCTTCATATTAACGGGCAAAGCTAAGACTAAGATCTAAAACCCCCAATCAACAAACATTGGGTGTTTTAGGAAGATGGTTAAAAACTGATTTTTTGACTTTTTATGGCTTTTTGACTTTTTTTGTAAGAAAGGAGGTGGGTTAAAAACTGAGAAGTGGCTTTTAACCCACTTCCCAAAGCTTTCACTGAGTTGTAATCAACTGTCGATCTTCGTTTCTTAAACTGTAAGCCATCATTTTTGCAGCACCTTCATTTGAACCAAATTCCTCTGAAGGAAATCAAGTCTTAGTTACACAAATTCAAACCATAAACAACCAAATGGGTAGGTTTGAAAAACCCAATTTGTTTCCTCATGAGCACTAGTAATTGCTAGCAGTATATGAAAGGAAAATATGCAAATGAGTTTAACAAGCATTTTTACAAACAGTATATGTGCACAAAACGTACAACACATATATACAGCAAATTTGTCTTAGAATGAACTGGGTTTTGCAATTGGAATGTTAAATGCTACATCTCATTGAATCAAGCCCAAACACCAGAATTGATAATGCAAGATCATAGAAAGATCACCAAAACCATGTGGAAAAAGGTTTTGACCATTGTACTAATTGATAATATCGACAACAAAGAGTTGCTACCTGGTGGTACGTGTTCCGTCTTGAGCATGGCGAGCAATCTTTTCTTCAACACTCTAAAACATACTAAGGACTTCAAATACCATCTATGAAGGATAAAAAAAAAAAAGTTCTGGACAGAAATTATGAGATTGAGTCTCACCTCACGGCGCTGAACAGTACCCCTATATCCAGTAGCTTGGCAGAATCTCCTCACATCATTTTTGAAATAAAAAGAAAACTTGTTTTTGGTTAGTGAGAGTGTAATTTGAAATAAAATAAACAAATAAATAAAATCAAGATAGGAGAAGATGAGAGCAGACAGCTTTCCATTTTTGTAAAAAAACACTAATAGATGCAATCATTATCCCTTTGCTCTGTTTCTCGGCAACCAAACAAATGTTAAATAAGCAAGATCGACATAAAACACCAATTAAAGTTTAAGGACCAGAGCTTCGACGGGCAGCTTTCAAGCAAGAACAAATCACAAAATCCCCAAATTTCAGAATAAATTTAGAACAAATCAAACCCAAATTAACTAAAGAAATTAATTTTTTTAACCATTTCCACATTACACAGAAACACAGTAGTCAAGCCATTAACTAAACAGACCCATTAATTAAACAAAACAAAACAAATCAATTTTCTGGTTAACTAAACAAAAAAATAATTGACAGACCCCTTATCAGTATTTATGCAAGGCCTTATCATATTCATTTTTTATGGTTAACTAAACAAAAATAACAACAGAGATTCATTTTTTTTTTT